CCCCAAAACCCCAAAACCCCTTATGTAAAAATTATTTATTTGTTGGGACAAACAGAAAAATAATAAAGAAATTTAAATTTGAAAATTAATGAGGCATCATCTGAATAGTAGCAATCCAAGTAATCAACGAGGAAGCAATCATCATTAATAACCCTTCACCTCTAACTAAGACTTTTCTATTCCCAAGACTAAGTAATAGAGTCATCAACTTAATGCACCTAATCCTCCTTAGCCCCATATTCATTAAAGCCAAAAGCCAAGTGACATACCTCCTCAATACCAGCAGCATCAACATATCAATCTGAATGCTAAGATGTTTAAGGAAAATAACAATACTTTTGATAAGGAGAATTAGAATTCGAATATGGATTACACACTTGATGCTAAAAACCTCACTCATCTTGATTATCAAATTGCCCTTAGTAAGCAAGTCAGTTAGAACCAAGTAACAAATAGCAAATCCAGCTAGAAGAAACCTCCTCAAATGCAGAGAAACTACACAACTAAACCTCAAAACATCATCAATTCTAATTAGGCTGCAACTCATCTGATTTCCTCTCCATCTGATAATAGCTAATCATAATCACCATTTGTCTCAAGACCAACAAGTGGATATATCACTTAAAACTAAAGCATAGATAACACTCACAGATATAGCTAGTATGCTGCTGGCTAGCCTCATTAGAATCTAGCTTAAAACATTAATAATTCATATTAGTAATCGAAATCTATATAGAGGTAAAGGCTCTAAGCCAATTCAAATGAGCTAGGTTAGAGGGATTTGTCGAGAAGAGAAAAGTCACTACAGAATAAATATAGCAATTATACTCATAGAGTTAATGATGAGAGCATTGGCAGCCATTTGTAAATGCTTCCGAATAGTCATCAAACTATTTAGCCAATTGAGTTGCATTAACCTTAGATTATGAGTAATGGCAAGGAAAATAGCTCAGAAATTGGAAAAAGTAGAGTTATCCCATAAACTGGGCACATGACAGCCAAGCACAATAGATAGAAGTCCTTTGAGGATAATAAAAATTACTAGACTAAGGACATTTCTTATTAAAATTATTTCGCAGGGACTTAAGTCATTAATAATGGTTTGCACAGAGCAAATTCCTAATCAAGAATTCCTTAGGATACCAACAATACTATCTCCTAACCATCTCAATACGACTATCCTTATGATAATACAATTGATAGCATTTCAAATAGAGAATTCTCAAGGAAGCAAACTCAGAGAGATCATTCAAACGCTTCTCATGTTCCTAATACCAATACAAGTTAAATACAAGGTGGGCATAATAGAAATGTAATAAATATGAATACTACTGTAGAATCTATATAAAATACCATAAATATGATTCCAACCAAGGATAAATCGTTGATTACTCACTAGCAATACAAATCTAAAATTGAAGCAAGCAAGGATGGCAGAGCAAATGTGAAAAAATTTGTAAAGTATGTCATAAGGCAGTCAATAGTTGAGCTTGGAGAGATTGATCAAATCTTCAAAGATAATCTACAGCCTTATGTACTCGAAGGACAAACTCAGTTTTTGGAGAATAGTGAGAAGCACTATAGAATTAAATTTGTAATGGATCTTGTTAAAGCTCTTACCAAGTCGATTTAGCTATATGTCTGTGATTCTAAGATTAAGTAAAAGAGAGAATAGAGTCAGAACATAAATGCAGATGAATTTAGATAGTAATAATTGCAGATTCAAAAGGAGAAGGAGAAGATAAAGCTGAAATTGAGGAAATAATAGGAGAAAGACATTGAGCTTACAAGGAGATTAGGGGATTTCGAGAAAGTTTATAAGTCATTCTAAGAAGCCAAGCAAAGTTTTGATTTAGAAAAATAGCAGCATCAACAAATCATATTGAAATATCAAAGAGAGTTTGAGAGAGATTTCATGTCAAAGCTTAGAACTCAAAAACACAGTATAGACTAAGAGTAGATGTCTTTAGAGGACTAGAGATCTAGACTTATCAGAGAACAAGACAAGCTTAAGCGATAGATGGACTCCTAATTTAAGCAGTTAAAGCTAGACTAGCTAAAGCTCTAAGACGATATTCAGGAGTTTTTAGCGCTTCGTGATCACTTCGAGCACTTCAGACAAACTAAAATGGAGCAGATTCAGAACATGAAGCAGTCTATCTAGGACTAGAACAGCGCCAGAGACCAAGAACTAAATGCTAGAGAGCAAAGACTAAAGTACTGGGACGAGAGTTTAAAGAGCAAAGAGCAGTAGTTAACTGCTATGCTATTGAGACATGATGAAGGTTAACAGTAATTTAATGAGTCTCTGTTTATGAAGTCTTGTACACTGAGAAGTTCATGCGCAGACTTCAATGCTGTAGGAGACGACTAGAACAACCAAACTCAGCCAATGATTACAAATTTCTTTGATCAGTTTTTGGGGCAAGTCAGGTCAAACGCTGATGAAATGCAGGAGAGAGAGCGTATTCTGGCTTAGTTCTTGAATAGGAATAACCCAATTAGATTCAGTCAAAATAGTGGGATGAATAGCACATCTCAAGGACTAGGCTTGATAAGTCTTAGAGGTTCATTCCAAGCTACACCAATTCCCTCAGAAATGAATAAAAAATCCTCAAATGACAAGATATTAGTGCAGAGTGATGAAGACAAATCGAAGTACTCCTCATCTAATTGATTTGATCTGATTAACTTCCAAGTATTAACAATCTTTTGTGAATAAATATAACCTTGATCTAGCAAAGATTACTAAGGTCGAGATTTTGATTACTAAAACAAATATACTCTATAAATTAATTTGTTTAATTCAATTTCCTTAATTTATTAATTCATATTATAATTTAAATAAAAATGTAACAGTAGATGAGTAAGAGTAAGCCAGGCAGTCAGGCAGGTCTCTCCTCTAAGTTTGGAGCCAACACCAGAAGTGGCATGGCTAATGCTGCTGGGGCAGTGCGAGCTCTCCACCCAGAAGATGACTGGGAGTTGACAGGCAACCCCACTAACTACTTAGACTAGCTACCTTAACCTTTCAGATTCGTTAATCAATGTCTTGATTTGATGATAATGAAACCAGTCTTTAATAGAATCACATAGATCGAAGAGCATAAGAAGACTCCAGAGTACGAGGGCTTCCTACGTGAGATTCAGGCTACAGGCTTCCTTGACTAGGAAGGCATCACTTAGATGTCTCAGTCAGCTATCCCTGTAGGCCCAGGTGGTGTATTAGACAAAGATGGTTACTAATTCATTTCAAATAAAGTGATTATTGGAGACAAGTATGGACAGGTCATTCTTTTCGATGCTAGTCGCAAAATGATCCTAGATAAGAAGCAACTGTGGGGTGGAGTTGATCCTACTACCAATTAATAAACACATCCCCGCAGAATACAGCATATAAGCAATTGCTCAATTACATGGCTAGATACAAAGCTAACTTATGTAAGTGTGATAGCTAGAGGTTCTCCTTTTGTTAGAATACTGGTTTTTAAACACAATGAGAACAAGCTAATTCATCTATACAATATCAACGTTTCTCCAGCACTTGCTAATCCAGATAACCTAGAAATGAATCCAGATCAGAGCTATTTTGATTTGCCTTGTGAAACTAAATTGTCTATGGATAATCAATTCCTCACAGTCACTAAATTCAATGGAGAAGTTAAATTGATTAAGATGCCAGCTGTTATCAACCCACTAAGAGATGACGATGTAGCTTAACCCCCTCCTCAAGCAGCTCCTACAGGCAAAGGATCTGTATAGCCCCCAGTTTAAAATCTTAATAATATTCCCAGCAGTGCTACTTTAGAGGAGAAAACAAACATTAAAACTGATATTGATAGTATTCCTCTTTAGACTTTAGAACTAGCTCAAGTCCTCATAGCAAAGATTGAAGCAAGAAAGGAATCAAGATTTAAAGATCCTTTCCTTTTGAAATAATACCCAGAAGGAGCAACTGAGGAGTAAATGGCTTAACTTGATATTCAAAACTCAACACAGCCCTTGCAAATAACTCATAATCAGCCAGTTCAGTAGTTCAAGTATCTTTTAGGCAATATGGCTGACAGATAAAAAGATCCAGACGGAGGAGATGCTGGAGTAGTTTGTAAAAGATCCAAAATTTATCCTATTGTTCACTTTATAAGAACTAAGTATTGCAATAAGCCAATTAATTCCATTGGAGAAAATCAAGGCGCAACTGCCAAGCAAGTCAAAGAATATTTCATAACAACTGGACTTGTGATTGCCTACCAAGGATTATTTGATGTTTAAGTCTACAACATTTAAAGAGCATCAAAGGAAAAAGTTCATCCAGACTACACTATGGAGTACTTCAACAAACTTATAATGCAGAGAAAGCTGAATGCGAAGAAAAAGGTTGAAAAGAACCTAGCCTCATTGATAAAAACAGTCAGATAAAAAGAAGATGCAGCATAGTAACAGAAAACATAGTAGTAGTTGCTTGAGTAAGAGATGGCTTTGCTTAAGGAATCGATGTCTAAGAGTGTCAAGTCATTTAAAATGCCCTACTAGATAACATGTGTAGCTTTCCAAGCTGCTGAAAACAACTTTTAAGTACTTGCAGTTGGTTTAGTTGATGGAGCAATCCTACTTATTGATATGGTTTTGGGGTTAGAGAGAAAATTCTTAGAGAAGCATCCAGCTGAAATCTCAGCTTTAGCTTTTTGGGATGATAAGGTTCTAATCTCAGGCTCAATTGATGGGCGTGTAAACATTAATGATCTTGAAGAGGAATTCTAATAATAACAACAAGCAGCAGTGCATAACCCAACAGAACCACCTCAGAAAATCAATAAGTGCTAAAACTGTTAAGACAGGCGCATCCCAGTGGCAAGAGCTATGACTTGTGACTATGGTATCGGAGCTGTTGTTGACATTGAAGGCAACTGCAGATTTTACGATTTGATCAGATTTAGAAAGATGGCAAAGGTATCATCATTCAACTCTAGAGACAGTGATGCTAGATTCGTGTAGAACAAGTGCAAATGGAGAATGGTACCTCACATTGCAATGGAGATGACCACTGATGTTTTCCTAGCTGTGACATAACCCCCTGAAGTTCATGATGACTCTTAAAAGCCTCATTTGAAAACTGAGAAGGACATATTAGTTGATAAGAAATACTCAGATGTCAAGGAAAACCTAAGATCTCTAAATTATATACTCAATCTAGAAGCAGATGAGCTGCCATTCCAGTTGCAAAAGAGCACATTGTGCATCTTTAGATTTGAAGATGTGATCTTTAACCTTTATCCCCATATGGCTTCTATGAAGAGAAAAGGCATGACTGTGAAAGAGATATTTATCAAGAATGATCCAGCAAAGGATGTAAGCTTATACAGAATGTAAATTAATACTTTAGAGCATGATTGGATTGACTCATACTAGTCTACCATAGAACTTGACTGCAGGAAATATTGGAGGGCAGTTAGATATTACATCTCATAAATCTCACTTTGACAATTCAAGTAAATTTCTTCAAAGTGTATATATATTCTATAGAGAAAAACATTCCTGCTAAGAGTGTAATGAGTGGTCACTCTACTAAAAAGAGTGGAGAAATGATGCTCTCAGTTAACTTTAACTTGGGAAATAACACGTCAGACAGCCAGCCAGCTCAGCAACAGTATGACATCCCAACCCTAAAGAGACTTAACCCAGAACTCTACAAGGAGTACGCTAAGTCTTAACGCCAAGTCATGGACCCTGCCTTCTTAAGTGTAAAGAACTTGAAGGAGAGATACAGCTACCATGAGATGAGGTTGCAGAGAATACAAAAGCGCACTGAAGAGGTTGCTAAGGAACTTGAGTTGAAGAACGAAGAGCAAATAATGAAGACTAGGAAGAAGAACATCAAGGGAGCCAACGGAGGAGGGGATGCTGCTAATTGATTAACTTACTATCCTATAAATTTTATCTTCTTATTTAAGATTGAAATGCTTTTGCCGATAATGGGGTTTTGGGGTTTTGGGGTTTTGGGGTTTTGGGG